CACGCAACAAGACGTCCGACGAAAACAGGTCATCAGTGAGAGAGCAAGCAGGATCATCCACTACAGCTCCCATATTCAACTCGAAAAACTTTGGTGGTATGAGGGCCGTCTACTTGTTTTCGTAGAGCAACAAATTTACGTCTGTACATTTAGTAAAAAAATCGACAGAAAAACCAGGAACTCATGGAAACGTGTTATGAGATCAACTCATGATTTATAGAACCAACTACAATGCAAAGGTCCGTGGTTGATAGGATTAATACTTCCGTACGAACTCGAATGTGTTAGAGTGGAATAACACTTACCTGAGAAGGTGGGCCGATTGTTGGATAGGATTACTTGCAGTATTCGCGGGAGAAGACGGGGCGTGACCACGAAGCAGGGTGAGCAATCGCAGATGCAGGCGTATGCAACAAACTTGTGCAACAGCCCACTGTACGGAGAAACTTGTCAAGTCAGTCTCACAGTCTGCAGTTACAGGCTAAACGAGTGTAGATGAAAGGAGTGTTCCGAATGAGCAGTGTGATGAACACAATCAAGCATCGGAATAAGAAAACTGGTTAGTAAGATCACAAGGTCACGTGGCAGCGTCGCTCACTTCCATTCAGCGCTCTTGATCAAATGGTATAGTTAGGAAATTCATGCTAGCGAAAGCTACGTTTCAAATACAATCTGCGACGAAACCATGGGGTCGAAGTATTTTCTCAAAACAGCTCTCATGTTTAATGAGCAAGCTTTTCTCCGGATGACTGTCAACAAGCAATGATGATCAAAGATAATTTCTAAGTCAAGCTATTCGCCTAGCCTTGAACTAACAATAACGCAACTTTTGTGTTCAATCTTTGTTAATGAGCTTCGTTTACTCTATAAAAGTCGCGCATTTCGGACGGATAACATTGGTTGGAACGATTGAAGTATGCAACCGAGAGGATGCCGTTCGAATGGAACCGAGTGAAAAGACCCTAAAACTCCGAGTTTTTTGGCTTCGGTCCGTGGGCAGCTGATCGTCTAATCGAATGATATTCAAGAAACAGACGCCTCTTTCCTTGATACAGTGCATCATTCAAAAGGGTGATGAAAATTTCTTGTTAAAGCTTGTTTGTCGTCATTCCACATTGCATACACCGTCCGGTTTTAGGGCTCGAATCCACAAGGGGAAGGGGTGGACTGATGGCTAACAAAAAGCAGATCCTCCGAAGAGAAACGCCAGATGATCGCCGTCCACTTAGAATAGTAAGGTGCACAGTTGGCGCAGATAGTTTAAATCACTCACCGATGACTTATCCGTAACAGGCAGCGTGACCTTTAGAACGCGATCCAGAGCGAGACGGATGTTCGCGAGATGTGTGGATTGACAGTCGCTTAGTGCGATAATAATATGGTCGCAGACACGCAGAATTGAGCCTAAGTCATCACGCGTACATATCTGCATAGTACCATCCGTCAAATGCGTCACGACGACGTCAACAACCTGTTGGGGAGGAGATGCGAAAACGTCGATATCGTCAGGATTAACGGGAAAGAAGAATGATATAAATAATGATTGTTCAACTGTGAAACCTATTCGGTGCTTAGCCGCCATGCCACCCACGGAGAGCCCGAGGGCTGGAGGAATGGCCGAGATCCCCAATTGTAGGCAGTAGTCAAAACTTTGGGATCGAGTTCAAACCATGGACCTTTTAGTAATCTCGCGACTTAACCACAGAATACCAATTCGCCGAATGGAACAATCAGAGAGACCATAAGCAGCAACACAACGGAGATTCGCGGATTTTTTTCGTTCATTTGCCGATGAAAAGATATATGTATGTTGTTAAGGTGACTCTGTCACCAGATGACAAAGGGTACGCTTACCTGACTGAGGACATTGGATAAGCGCTTCTCCTGAACATTCGAAGGACCCAACTGGAGGAGAGTAGCCTCTTCCACTATGAGGCACAACTGATCGTAGCTGGCAGGCAGATGGGCCAGCCGACGAAGAAAAAAGTTGAATGCAGCCTCACGCGCCACTTCCGCCTGCCTGCATTAGGGAACGATGGTAAATTTGTGGATAATTCCCCGTTTTAGAAGGTATGTTCACCCAAAATTGACACTCAAGAAAAACCAGCACAATTTACGTCGCCAAAAAGAAGGTAGAATCAGAGGAGTAAGGAAACAAGAAATAGCTGACTCAGCACACGGGTATGCACGGTACAAAAAAAGCGGATCTTCAAAATGTACGGAAGGAAGAAATGGATGTTCAAGAGATATGAAGGATCATGCTTTGGCAAACAGATACACGGATACACAGATCACTGTGCTTGCATCTGCACTAAGTGCGATCGAATATATTCCCCATCCACCAATGGCATGGTGTAGCGCTTAGCTGGGATGTCCGGACAAATAAAGCCTAGCACGCGGGCCTGAAGGTTACTTTGAGGAGAGCAAGAGAGACCGAGATAGACTTGACTTTCCCACATCCAGACAAGAGCAATCGAACAGCCAGGGTTCGAAACATGGATATTCCGTCCAGTGGGTTCGACCTTAAGCTGCTATCCCGAGCTCCCCAGTGCTCTAATTTACATCCAAATTACATTGTATTCGGAGAAAGCAAGCGGCTGCCCACAAAAGGCAGTTTGGCGTTGGCTTGTTGATACACATGACCGTACCTGGTAACACTACGTACTGCCCAGTAGGCATAAATACTATAACTTCCCAAGAAAGGTCACCATCATAAGGGGGCCCGGTTGAACACTCTCAGGAAAAGAGGGAGGGAGTTGCTGACAAAAAGTCACTTATAGGCCCTTCGGAGTAATGCATGTTACAAAGTTACTGTATTCGGTCTCATATGAGAGACGCGCTTCTCTCAGATGTTGACAGCAGAGGAAAGTTTTGTATACTTTACAAGTGTGTGGGTTCTCTTTAATGGAGGATGAATGTGGCAGGTAGCTTGAAAACAACTGAGATAGCTCAGTGGTTAGAGTTTGCTGACCCGTGGTTCGAACCCGACATCTGCCTCTCGACTTCCCTTGTCTAGACTTTCGTAACCTGGAAGTATCTCAGCCTTCCCTTCATTCGGGCTAGGTACCGAAAGGGTGTGGCGGCTAAACGATTCCTATTTCTATTTCAAAATGGAGAGCAGGACTGAAGGCACCTAATGGTGAGAAAAAAGTAGTACTGTGATGGCAAATTAATATATATGGGCTACAAAGCACACCCATGGGTGCTAGACACAGGTATTGGATCAATTATCATCATTTGTGGTGTCTTTCCGGTGAATAGTTGTCATTCTAACTGTAGAACGTAGTAGGGGTGGAACACTCAACGCACAACAAGCAATAAAAGTGTCAGACAGCCGCAATCAGCAACTGGGACCTTCTCAGGAATGACGAAACAGATGCGAGTTCGACAGAGAAATGGACTAACTTGAATACAGGGTCCTCAGCTTTTTCTTCCAGAAAATGACTCGGCACCGAGGATGAGATTAAAGGGCGTTGGATGACATACAGATCCACCACGATCGGCACCAAGGCAGATAGAACAGTACTTCCTGGGTCGAGATCTTCGGCGGCCAATGTCTCGGCCATGTGCATTACCTGATAAGTAGTGACAACGCAGATGGGTGAAGGTTGCGAGTGTAAAGGTAAGGAATTACTGGATTATACTGTGCATTGGTAAGCAAGTAACCAGCTTGCCAATGAGATAGGTATCTAACGAGACTGACAAAGAGCTGTGTGGAAAACTTAGGACACCGGGTGGCGTAGTCGTTCCGTTCTCCTGTCGCCTGGATTAGAGCGAACGAGGAGTAAGCAAGTTCACAAACACGAGGTTGGTGGTTCATTGACTGGGTTTATTCGATTGATTTTTTTTATGCAAACCGGTGCAATGTTTTCGCGCTGTCCTGTTGGTTACCTACGTTACGAACGTCAGTTTCTCTATCAGAGATACACTACGGCAATGAGGGAGAAACATGGCCTCTATGGGTCAGAACTTTCGGTGCTTGATCAACAGTGTCTCCAAAGAGTTGGTCAGTTTGATGGGTACATCAGATTAGCAATTCAATGATATATTAGCTGGTTTTAAGAAATGAACACCCTTCCGCGACGGACCGCGTCTCACGGGCTACAACGGTCAGGACATATTTTTCGCACGTCAGACGACCGCTTACCTTGCACAGCTCTTTTTCCCATCCAGAGGCAGGCAGTCGATAAGCTAAGAACGAAACATGATAGCCTTGACGAGTAAACTCGGTCTAGTTGAACAGTGCCATTTTAACGCATGCAGGCCATCGACCTTTGATCACCAGTACCTACTGAAACTGGTGAATGTAGCTGAAGCACACAGTCAGTGAGGCTCCCCCTGCAACAAAGTTGTGTCCTTACTTCCGGCAGCTAGAAAAAATCATGCCATTGTCCTCAGTGCTTGGATACGTCTTCTCCTATTTTATGGAGATCACAAATGTATCAGCTAGAACCCAAGTACCCTTTTTATACCAGTCGAGCGTCGGTATGTATGAACTAGGGTATTCCTGTCAACGATGTTGATGAACGTGCGTTTGGCACACGATTTATGTCTGACAAACTGAACGGAGTCGAAATTCAAAGACATTGTCGGGCGATAGATTATCAAGGACGCAAACGATCTGGTACCATCCTCACCTACCTGAGCAAAAGCGGGTGGTCGAACCGCATTCGTCGCCGTGGTCCCAGGCGGTTCAGTCTGGGATTCTAGTCCCCGATTGGATTTGCTGGAATGCTGTTTCTGATAGGCTAAAGTGACCAGGAAACGAAAGATTGCGTTCACCAGACCTTGGTGGTGTTGCTGGCTTTGATGTATCATTCGACCATTAGTTGTTGCTGGTGTGGTTGTGGAAAGACCAGAGCAGAAGGCCCACCACGGTTCGTCCAACGTAGAACGCTTGCGGGCAGAACCCAGTGGACTCATTTGTTGCCGGTGGATATCCAAGGAGAGGTTCTCGCAATGCTTCAAAACCGTCTGGAGAAATTCCTGAAAGAATAAGATAACTACAATTGGTCGATTTCGATAGCACTCAAAATTTGCGTTCAAAATCGTTTGCTCAGAACAGCAACACAATGACCTAGAATAAGGAAGAGGTTTCGTCATCTTATGGAATTCATAAAGTTCAAACAGTGGTGTCATAAGTACCCATGCAGTAGGATTGACCTCCAAACACGAAGAAAAACCTACGAGAATGTACTGAGGCAAGCCGTCCCTGATAACCGAACATCACATCATTTGGACGGATGTGACGCGTGCAGGACACGGACCAAACGAAGGCTTGTCCTGATCGGTCAGAATGCCAGTCAATCCAGATCGAACATCTTTGACTCTACGCTTCTCGCCCCCTCACGGTGATTCTAGCACGACCTTGTGGAATACTCTGTGATTACCCTATAAACAGATATAATGATTCTCCCTTTGTTTCCATAAAGGGCTGTCTAGAGCTATCGTGCCTTTTGATATACCATAGTGGGCGGAGCAGGAAACCAATACAGAGTTGCACTACCGTCCAGCAAGTGTCTGCCCCAAAGAGTCGCTACCGAGCGATTCACATAAGTTAGTTCATCCTATACCCTAAGAGCATACAATAAACCAGAGATTTCATTCCCTAAAGAAGTGCCAACACCTAAGATAAATTTAATCACGGATAACAATAATTATTTCGTCTTATTTCCGAAATATTCCCGATACTGGATGAGAAGGAGACCATTCAATCGAAGGTGAAGTTTTCGATATCTCTTCTAAGCTACGCTGAGTTGAATTAGTGGTTAAGGTGCCAACATACTGACCGGAAGATCTGTGGTTCGAACTTAATTCCAGTACATTGACTGCTTCTGTCTAAGCTTGGGCAGCTAACCTAAGAATACGAGGGTTATCTCCGAGCCACTATTTTTCTGTTTACTCAAGAGGCATGGGGGAATGGTATGTCACGGGAAGCAGTCCCGCAAACAATGAGATAGGGAGTTGGTAATCAAAAAGAAAAGATGAGATCACGTCTGCTCACCAGTCCCGTGTCCAGTTGCTCGTAGTTCAGCTGTAGACAGACTAAATGTGTGAGCAGATTGAGTATGCCCGACTGGAGGTTGGGACATGTGGTCCACTTGTACTCTTCCATACTCTGAATCACAATGTGTTCGAATCGCTTGAAAAACTGAGTAAGTTCATTCTAGTAACAGAAAGAGGAGAGGGGAGAATAAAACAGTAGGTGAAGTAGCTCTATACAGGATTACGGCCGAACGACAAAAACCTGCGGGGTCATAAGCTGAAGTTGTGCACAAGATGGGCACTCAGAATCTGGCGAACTTGTTGCTACCCGGTCACCCACACACTTGACGTTCAGCTAAACAGTCGCTCACTGGATCACGAGACTTGTCTTTTTTCATACCCAAAAACCACGTCATATTAAGGTGACGCATCAGACACCGATTGTCTGTACCGTCTGGTGAGAGTAGCAACAGCTCATGTGCTGGCAAACCCACGTACACACAAAACGGAGCTACATATAAGGAAACCGAACACAGTCAGCAAACACAGACTGGCGCGCGCGCGGGGGCAGGAAGTCAACCACCCTCCACAAATCCACGGACAATTATGGGACACGTGTAGCAGCCATACTGCGGAGAAAACACGTTCTCGTCTTCCGGACTTTCACTAAGGAACTCTCACAGACGATAAGTTCCTCTGTTGACTCGCTCCCATTTTGCATTGTGTTAATTTTTATACGTGTGGCATCTCACCATTGTCAACTATACTAAAAACTTCTATTAGTGCATATACCTTCTGAATTGTATCAGGGCTCTCATCAATCGTGCACTACTAAACTGGTCTATTAGTGTCTCATTCAGTCCCGGTTGAAAGATGACAACAAACAGTTTGATCAGTTGATCTAACCCAATTCAATTTCACCGACTGTCCTGGAGCCAACCACCCCCCATAGTTGAATCTTACGTCAAGCTACGGACCAAGCGAAGGGATGCCCTGATTGGCCAGAATCCCAACCAATCTGGATCGAGCATTTTAATGTTCGACGCTTCTCTTGCCCCCTCACGGAGATTCCAGCACGACCTTGTGAAACATTCTGTGATTACCCTATAAATACAGTTTTGATAATTTCCCTTTGTCTCCATAAAGGACTGCCTGAAACTACCGTTCCTTTTGATATATCATAGTGGGCGGAGCAGGAAGCCAAGGGACAGATGCAGTTGCACGACCATTTAGCAAGTGACAACACCAACATCGTTATAGACAAATGCAAACCGCGTTCCACAGCTTTACACACGGACGAAAGAAGATTTGAGAATGGAATGCCCCGCACTGGGGGGGGGGGGGGCTGACAGCTCCACTTAATAATTAAATACCGACGCCTGCTTTCGAACGAGTTTTTCGTTCAGAAAGCGAGACAATGGGGCAGACACTGAGTCACATCTGTAAGCGTAAGTAGCCCGCGGGCAGCAGCTTACATGAAGTTGTTCAAGAGACAGTTGTCCCAAGGCCCACTGACTCGTACATGGATGGAATTCGAAGCCGAAAGAACGCCGCAGCTGAGCCAGACTAGTTTTGGACACCCACATGCACATACAGTACTCAGTTTCCTCGGGCTTGTCGACTGACGTCTAAACAATGGCATACCTCAATGGGAAAGAGATCCGCTTCAAAAGCGGTTTCCAGGAGAACTATGGAGCTGAACAACCAGAAAAACTGGAAGCAGTTGTAAAAAGAGACCAATTAGAACGGAACATAGACTCACCCGAATAACCGAGTTTTTCGATGTCAAAGGCAAAGGAACACGCCACTGACGAGCGAAACGGATCCAAGCGGTGATCGGGGTGCGCACAAGCTGATCCAACCCCAACCATGAGGCAAACGGAGTGACATCAGTTGTGCGAGATGCCAACATACTAGTATAGTTCACATATCGAGTCCACAGTTTCTCTAGTGAACCATGAACACCGAAGGAGGTGTGTATGGTTCGGTCTACAAAAAAAGGAACAAAAAGTGACAACAATGAGCCGTCCACAAAGGCCCTTCGGATGCTGTCAACAAAATCTCTGAACTGCCAATAAATCGCAGCATTTCACGATTCGTTGCGTTCTTTATTAATCGCAATTGAAAATGGCGCTTTCGCAGGTCTTTCATGTAACTACTCACAAGTTTTGCCCATAAACTCTATCATATACCCACGATTCCTTCCATCCTGTCCATCCTCCGTGCGTAGACGGTTTCAGCAGAACACCGTCCTTTTCGCACATGTCCCTATGTTGATTTATGCCCTATCCATGTACGGGATGGATGTCCCGTTCATTGGCTAATATGGATGAGATAAAGTCGTGTTGGACCTCGTTTTCGGTTCAGAGAAAAGCAAAAAGAGGCGACCGCTAAGTAGGTGGACGGAGCTGGAAATGGAGGAGATTTCACTATCCGGTTTGACTAAATAACGTCCATCTGTTACAGGATCGCAGTCTCACATCATAAAATGGTCTTTCGTTTTGATTTCAGCTGATGTAAATTCCCCGGTTTGGCAAACCAAGCCAACTGAATCGTCCTCGTCATACCCTTCCTCAGCAGTGACAAGTGCTATCCTCTGTTCGTGATTCCCAAAAATATGGCCTTCTGGAAACTTGATTACATGAAATCGGACGGACGTCATCCTCACGTGGAAGTAATGACACGAGTGACGCTTGATCTTAAATCGAGCGTTTTTGATAGCTTGCCATTTACAAGCCTCAGAGCTTTTTCCGTCATGGTTCTGCACGGAGTTTGTGGTGAGCCTACGATGTCGTCAGTATCCTGCTTAGAAAAATGGACCTGGCCAAAAGTTCCGGGCAAACGAACCTTTTATTCCCTGTGGAAACATCCAATTCCTCTATCTGTCACAGATAACGGGAAATTCGTGTGCCAATCTTCGATGAATTCCAGTTAGGATGCTCCCAACGAGAGCATTCCTCATCAAAGGGTGCTAAACACAATTCAAAACACTCCAGTCGTGAGCATGAGCATTCAAGAGGTCTAAAATAGCTCCGAGACAATTACTGAATGCAACAGTAAAGTGGCTTTAATAGCCATCAGCACTCATCCAGCACACCACACACTCCACAAGGAGCCTGTCCGCATGGAATCCGGTAGCACTCCGCGTTGAATGAAATCCATCTGACGACCTCCGTCAAGATGCAGTACAAACGGTGCCTGTGTCAACTGACGAGTGCCGCCATTCAAGTCTCCAGGACAAAAAGGGCTATACAAGACGAAATGTAGATGAGCCTTCATAAAAGGTAACAAACACGGCATCTCTAGAACGACAGAAGTTCAACGACGCCCTACCTGAGTCTGGTGCTTCAACGCTCTTGGTTGGTTCATTTTTGTCAGCGGTGGCAGCCTCAGGACGGGGGTCAAAAGAAGTTGAAGAGGACAGTCCGGGACTCAGAGCCACATTGTACAGCTTGGCCAATTGCTCGTCCCAGTGGCTGATCAAATTGGTCCCAACAAAAGCTCGAAGAATCTAAAGTATGAAGGAACGGATAAATCGACAGGTAGGGAGGAACCTTCCAGTGGTTAGGATTACAGAAATGCAATGAAGCATACACCTGACTCACTTGGGTGGATGCTTCCAGACAGGCCGCTGGATGACAGTGATAAAGGACCGCCACATAGGTCAGCAGTTCATCTGAGTATGGAGCAGTCTCGGCCAGGCGTAGATTACACATCAGCCGACTAAGTGTGTGTAGGTAGGCTTGGAGTAAGTTCATTAGACGGTCCTGTGAGCCGGTTAGATCAGGCGAAATCTGTGGCGTGCGATGAGACAGTCAAAGATTAATCAGTATCAAACAAAGGTTGTGATGATACCGGCCACAAACTGTTTTTTTCACTTGCCTTGAAATTTTGAAAGGCCACTTTAAGTGCCTGGTACAAGGACATGTAATGTGGTATGTGACTGAAGTAGCCCAGGATGCGGCGTGATTCAGTCACTGCTGTCTCTGAAAATGTTTGACGAAAAAGAAAACAGAAAGGGTGAGGGACTGTGTAGAAATGAGTGCTAATCATGCAAGAGAAACCAACTCTGGAGTACTACACGTCAAAAAAGTGTGCACAATAAATCAAAGCAACCGGACAAAGGATCAAGATGGGGGGAAACGGGGGATCCCATTGCATCCGGGGAAGAGAGACGGCAAACATTCTCACTAAAGGAAATAAACAAATAGGGTTAACAGTCATTTATGTATGGTAGATGGCACCTTGATGTTCTGAACAGCAGACCCAGGGGGTTCTGAAAGACAAAATGAGGTAGATGGTGGTGTGGTTGCGGATGACAGAAAGGGCTGCAAAATGGCTGAACACCACTGCACTACCGAAACTCAGCATGTGGTTTCGTGTGAAATTTCTGCTGAAAAAGACTCTCAGGGATAGGATAGAGCTTGAGGAAATAGTCCACCGAAACCAAGACGATCCAATTAAGCAAGGGTTTTATACTTTGAAACTGGTTACCCCTTCATTTTTGTTGGCAATACATGTTGAAATAAGTCACCTCTTCAACAGTACCTGAGTAGGTGAGAGAATCCAACGAATTCTCGGAAAGTGGAGACGGTGAGGAATAAAATAAAATAAATAAATCGTCCAACTGTAGCACCCTTTCGGTGCCCAGCTGCCATGCTACACGAAGGAGGCATGAGGGCTGGGGTACTGCCAGGTTGGCCAAGCCTAGACAGGGAAAGTCGAGAGGTAGAGGTCGGGTTCGAACCACGGACCTTCCGGTCGGTAAGGAATGTATAATACAGTTTACAGTGCAGACCGAATTAGCATACCTTGTTGGGCTTTCTTCAGTGGGCTTGCTAGTTTAGCACTGATCGGACGTCGCGGAGTTCTCCCAGAGGTTGACGAATCACTGGAAACCGGTTTTCCCGGAATAGCCTGAGCTTCATTTACCACTGGACCAGTGGCATCTGAATGAAGTCGTCTCGATAGCTGCAACGCAATGCTCAGCGGTGAATCTGGGTGAAAAGGATCAGCATGCGCGCTGCTTGGAGGAACGGGAGAGGGTTGTATTTCCTCCACGACGTGCCACAATATGAACAGCACGCTGTGGGGAGAAAACGAGAGAAATAGCGCAATAAAAGTAGCGAGAGTCAGTCAACAATATCTGGTGAAATGGGTGACACATGATAACCATATAGTGGGACTGAGGGTAACGGTAACGCGTGCACTGTAAAGACTAGCCTCGGGGGACTTACACGGACAGTGGCTACAGCCTATGAACATGCGACAGTCTTTGAAACGGCTGATTACGCCGCTTTTTCAGCCTCTACTACGAAATGTTACCCACAGCCTACTGCCGCGTATCCCACTTGTGTATCCTAGGGTGGGAAACGCCGAATAGAGGTTCGATTCACCGTCACTGCACTAAGGCGTTCCTCAAACTCTCTTCTTCAAACGCTCAAAGCAATTCCAAGGGAAAACAAATAATTCACACCCCACCAGTGAAACTGAGATGATGGAAATAAGAAGAGGAACAACAGACAGTGCTTTCCAGAAGACCATGAAACCGACGTTCCTGTGGTAGCGGGGACTACTGGAGTGAATGGATGCGATTGGTGCGCCAGCAGCTCTGCGATCGGCTACTCACACAAGGACAAAATAGCGAAATGGACGCAGTTATTCACGATACTGTAAAAACTGCTAGACTAATCATATGCACTTTTATAAACTTACCGAGCTACGTGATGCAACAGGGACAGAGAAAATCGGGTGTAGGCGTGTTGAAGATCAAGGCTCATTGATTGTGTACCCTGGGAAATGCTACCCTCGGTTAGAGAGTGTAGCGCCCAACCTGAAAGTGTGAGGTAAACGGATAGATGTGATTAATGGGAGAAATCCAAACCCTATCGATGATAAAAAGTACCCATTGCTCCACGCTTTCGCCACGGAGAGAATGGCATTTTTCAGTAATCTCTCCCATATGTAGAATCTTACGTTATCCTCTAAGATTCTCTTCTTACTTTTCTGTTCTCACTGAAGTTTACCACATTCTTTCTGAATGATGGCCTCCGAACTTTACCCCACTGCCAAGGCACGCGGGCCCTTTCACCAGCTCGCCTCATATCTCGATTAATCTTTAGATGCAACACACTATCAAATGAAACATGGGACGGCCTGGTTGAGCACATTCAGTCAAAGAAGAGCATCATAAACGAGAGATTCAGCTGGGTTTCGTCTGAGTCTCCCGTCAAAACCAAGTCGTTGTGTAAGTAGAACTTTGACAATGTTCCTCAAGCCATCCTGAAGAAATTACACTTACACGTTAGCATATGGATCTTTTCGTCTATCCTTTTGCATCAAGCTATTATTGTTCAGCTGTAGCACCCTTTAGGTGCCTAGCTGCCATGCCACATGGAGGCACGAGGGCTAGAGAGGGGAAGTCGAGAGGCAGAGGTCGGGTTCGAACCACGGATTTTCCGGTCAGTAAATTTGCGCTCTAACCACTCGGTCCATCTCGCCCCATCAAGCTATTAAAAAGATTTCAAAGCGTTTAAATGAGGACTCCACCTCGAAACTGTGGTCAAACCAAGCTGAAACGCGAGAAGTATTGCATATCTTTTTCATTATCAATAGAGCTCCTCTCACAAAACATTAGACAGCCGAATCTGAAAGCTGCCCTACCGGGAGTTCAGAACTGTAACAATTCACTGCGAGTGGCTCCATCCTTTTCAGCCACGTAGCTCATGCCAGGTGATTTCACATTGACAGCCTCCACAAGCGGCAATCACTAGGACTAAAGAATCAGCTTCGATGTGGGAGGGGGACAACGTTCTGTTTTACCTTCTTCTTCGGTCAAAAAGACAACTCAATACCACAGAGAAGAGGAAAGTTTGTCCATTCAAACACAGTGATCAAACACAAACGTGGGCTGAGACCAGCTGTTCGATAGCCCACCCTGATGACATGGCCACTTCAAATGTAAAAGTAGAACAGGAACGGCTGGAACAAAGCACTGGTCAAAAACCAAAACAGAAAAGCAAGAATTTGCGGGAATTAGAACCCTTTTAGGAGGCAACAGCCACTCAATGCAACAAAATGATAGAACTATAGAACGGTTCACTAGAACTTGCCGGATAGTTTCCGGGGACGGGTACACCGTGACCTAGTCATTCCTCCTACATCTTTGTCGAAATATCTACTGAGCTTCAATAAAGTAATGAAGTAGTGTTAGGTGAGAATAACCCCGAACAGGAAATGGAACTCACGTGTTAGACATCCCGTGCAGAGATAGAGTAAATCGACATGCAGATCTAGGTCGATCGTGGTCAAAGGCGCGGCTGAAAGGAGTGTCAGGCACTGCCACGAGAGCAGGGCTATTCGTGGACGACGCTGACGATGCAAATCCTCCGGGGAGTCATTTTTCGGGTCCATCATTTCAACAGGAGTATACCAGAGTTCGGCTAATGCCATAACATGGGTTTGACCAACGAGACGATTTAGACAACGAACGATACCGTGCTTTATGGAGACATAGATGTGAGAAAGAAATAAAACGGAAATTGATTTTCCACGAGCGACCAGTGCTTAGCAAACGCAGACAATGTAAGGTGAAAACTCGAGAAGCTGGAAACTGGAAGTCATCAATACCAGTTTGACTGCATTACAATTAGGGCTACTGTAAGCATATAGAGAGCTTGTGATTTAAACGAAACATGGTTGTTTTCAGTGAGTAGACTTTACAGGAAATATCTATTTTTCCGAGCAGATTTATGCAAATTGTATGCCGACGTGAAGCCGAAATAGTCTGCCCTCAGTTCGCCGTCTGATAAAAAATCTCCTGCGAAGAAGCGGCGACTGCACTCTAGCTGTACCAATAACAAGACATGGTGCTTGAGGAATAAAGACAACTGTCAATACTGCGTCAGTCTACTGAGGATGGCCACCACTTCTCCGCAGCGTTGTTTGATGGGGACACATTAGGGCAGATATCACAATTAAAGAGTTACAAAGGTGAGCGGAAATTCAGGAGTTCATAGTGAACAAGTCAACATACATCCTGCCGGGAAGGTGCAGGATCACGAAACTAGTTTACCCGGTGGCTGTTGATCTGTTCGCCGAACGTTTCGTCACCCGCCTCATCAGCGCACAGCTGATGTCTCCTCGTATGCTGACGAAACGCTTGCAAGCTGATTGCAAGCTGGGCGGCCACCTGATCGACAACCAATAAACTCACCCGAGCTACAGATATTTCCAGACATAACCAATAAGGTACTTAATACGCCAGTCGACTAGCGAATGGAAATGGCCCTCCAGGGTACCCTGGTTGGAGGGTAGTGTAATATGAGAGCTCCCATCACCGGAACCAGCAACGGAGGGCTGTAGTTGGAAACCACTTACCAGCATATAGCGATCTTCTGGTAGTAAGCTGGCACACGGTAATTCGAGCAAACCTGTGACGCACTGCCGGAACAGGCGTAGTGAACCGGCTAAAGCCAGAGACTGCCGATTTCCCGGTTGTCCTCCAGATCCGATATCCATAGATTCTGCGTAGAGCAAGCGACTACAAAGGGGAAGGCTATGCAGGCCAGAAGGTCCAACATCGAGTTCCATGGGTAGGCCAGACATACATGGGGGAAAAATCTGCGAATCCCAACAGTCCAACAGACCGCAGGACATGATTGGCAGACCTGAAAACATTAGTACATCATTAGTACAACAACGTCGGCTAACAGTTGGTAGTGTTAACTGAAGCGATCTGCGAGCGTTCTACTGCCTTCGTGCCTCATCCGAAGGCGTTTGTACTTCAGGTACAAGCTACGATCAAGTCATCGGATCAACCTTCTTGACTTCGTTGTCATATGTTGGACAGGCAATTTGATTCTGTCATACGTCTAGAAGTCGCATGTAACCTACCTTACAAATACCATCTTGATAGTGCTCAGCAAAGAGCTGTGTGTATTTCACCCTGGAAAGAACCAAGATGTCGTTGACTGTCAAAACAACCCTCACCTATTGTGCTTCATTGAAGCGGCAATGATTCAACAATACGAACCCAATTTGTCCAGAAAAAAAATTGTGGCTATCCTTGTGTCCAATATTGAATGAGATCTACAACTCTGATGTGTGGTTTGATGAGCTATGCTAGCCTCAAGAAAACCTCGATTGCCAGAGCTCTTGGCACAACTCTGATTTCGAATGCACACAAATAGCTGATGAGACATGATACATGATTGGATTCGGTCTATCCTTTTATAGCGCTTCATCCTGTTCTCATAAAGCTCTGATTAAAGCGGACAACTTGGTTCAAACAGGCGTTAGACTAAGTAAACCGGACTCACACGCACTAGAATAGAAACTGGGATACCAATAGTGCAGACGGCGTTCAACGCTACACTCCAGAAGGTACGAAGAGCCATTTCGGGAATCGTTCGGCAGGATGTCGCTTAATGTGTACACCAGCGTCGCAGCGGCCAGTTCGGACAGCTCCGACTCCGGATCGGACAGCAGGCGCCACGTTTCTGTCCATGCCAGATCCACCAGTTGATGCGGACGCGCCAGACAATTCAGCCGCTGGGAGACAAAGCATGTGATTTCAGGAAACGCGATCGACTGCGATCACATGAGTAATTTAAGGCTTGTGTAAAAATTCTACAAATACATTCCAATAGAAAAAAATAACATTCTGAGGGTCCTGTTCGGATCTGGTTGAGTTGCATAGAGCAATTTATCCTTTGTGACTATCCCGATGTATCGGGTAGAATCGCGCACTGAAACCGCTTTACCGCTCACAGTTGGGCGCTGCTGCGGCAAAGCCTAAGCCACAGGTGATTGGTCAGAAGATCGGACCACTTGCCGGTCCAGCGTACAGGCGGCCGTTGATTGACTGAAAACGTGGACACAACAACCAATCATGATCCAGTATCGACTGAATGCTTTTGCCAATGACGCATCCAGAAGACCTCCGAATTTTCGGAATGTACGTGTCTTTTGATCTTGTTTTGGGAGTTTAATACAACTTATGGGCCGTCAGCGATTCTTTTGCAGAAAACGCTAGCTTATGAGGATCAGACACGATATACAGCTGCTCCCTTGATGTGGTGGTCGGGTTTGAGTGCCGTAATCATCCCGCGGAATATACTGGATGGAACTTCGTTCCACAAAGTGCAATCATGCAAGGACGTCCAAGGTGGAGCGGTCAGACAAAGGGCAGTGAAACACTGTACCTGCCAGTGAATCTCATCATCTGCTCACATAACGTATCAGTCAAGCCAACATACGTGATCAGTCTGTCAGCCATCGAACTGACTTCGCAAAACTTGAGTTGGAATTCGTTCTTTTCACAGCTGATGTAGGCGGCAGGCATTCGCTGAGTGGACCTCAATGTTAAACGGACCAAACTGTGCAGTTCATTGCCTGGATCCTCAAGAGCACTTCAGTGAGTAGCTTCGGAAAAAACGGCCTCTCATAACTGTCAGATAACTCGCGTTGTCTCCACGCTTCCCGGGTTTTAAGCCTTTATTAGAAAATCGAACTGCCAGCGGTGGCATTGACAACATTGAGTACCTGCAGGATACACAGGGCCCGACGTGGAAAATTCCGTTACATAGGTGTTAGAAACAACCACTACCAACTACGGCTCGGAAACTATGTCCCCGTGAAAAATGAAACTCCTAAACAAGAAAACCTTTCGTCACGACCGAGATAGACAATTCTGTGTAAGCGAGATGTCAACAAAAGAGGTTGGGGAAAGCTTGGGTTGGAGAAGCGTAGCGATTACACCGAAGGCTTCTCAGGAACGTTGAATTTCGAAGGCAGAAGATCTCCTATACCAAGAACAAAGAGACGGAATTAATCTTTCTTCAGGAAATACACTCATTTGCAAATCAATCTGGTTTTCATGAGAGACTCAACTGAGTCTCTCGTTTATGCTATTCTATGATATTCATGAAAATATACTGCGATATCTCGAATATCGTGCCAACTGAATCATGAGGCGGCCTGTGTGCAACACATTCAGTTGTAGAATATCATAAATGAAAGATTCAGTTGAGTCTCTTGTGAAAACCAAATCGATTTGCAAATGAGTGCATTTCTCCAAAAAACAGTCCAGTTTGGATTCAAATAGAACATAAGGTTGACGGTGGAAACTCGGGGACTGCGCCGACCTGATGAGCCTCAAGAAGGGCGAAACCGGTCGTGGGCTGTCGAAGAGTTTTCAGCAACCTTGTGAGTAGTTTCCCTAATGAAAATAACCTTTTCAATCAATCGGAGCACGTCATACTCCTGTTACATGGATCAACACACAGCACCCTCTGTGGTGTGTGCGTGAAAAAAACGACAATCCACTGTCCATACGGGGCGGATTTAACTGTTGGGAGAAAGGCACTTCGGCCAGCATTAAAAAATGGACGAAGGATGTGTAGCGGTTCAAACAAACGAGGTGACGCTAATTACTCCGGAGATTTGCAACCAAACGATGCAGAAATCAACCTGAGGACTATCAGTAGTGGGACTTCCTGATGGGCAGAGTACTACCAGAAACTCCCTCCTTCAATTCATTCTCATTCACCTAGCAAATGGAATATTCGGTCCATCAAAGCGATGCTGAACTCATTCAAACTGTAAACGCAAACAGTTATCCACACCAGTTGAATTCACATTGGTTCAACTGACCTCGGAGGCTGCCGGGTTCGATACTATCGCCTCCCAGAAATTGATTGCATTCCAATTCAGGTCATTGACAAGCAGAAGGAATTCGCGACGCACGAGTCGATAAGAGTGTCGCGCGGCAGGTGCCAGGTTCCGAGCTACGCAGTTCATTACGAAAGAAGCTAGATCCGTCTCCAATAGAGGTGGGGCAGTAGATTTGCGCCGAGGAACTGCGAGAATTGCGTTCACGCAAGATCGCAGACCAGAGAGTGCCAGACGGTAAGTGATTCCCGAGGACTGTCGCCGAAATTCGAACAAGGAAGACATGGCATGAGTGAGCGATAGAAAACAGTCTGAAAAAGCACACTAGTTATAGAGTAACTGGTACTACACCTCAGAGTCTAAACTGTTTAACTTGTACAACAAGCGAAGGGTATTCACTTGAAAATTTGGGGTAGCGCAATTCGCGTTGGTCTGTCATCAACGCACAGATAAAGCTCAAACAATTTGTGAGCGGAGTCCTTGACCTTTTGACTTTGACGAAGTCAGTGAGGAATAGTGGGCGGATGGATGCGCGTCTTGTGAAGACCATCACAAGCAAAACAGGCGAGACAAAAATTCGCAATACTGCACCGGAAATCGGTCAAAACCACATTGTAGAGTGTGGCCTTGGAAAAAAGTATGGCGAGGTAGAGGTAAGAAATGTAGACAGCTTAGCTATGGACCAGTTGGAAACAACCATGTTGCACAAAACACAGGTAGTTCGAACCTCGACGGAAGAAGAGAGTACTCGATCAATCGCACTGAGTAGCACATCGTACGGATTGGTCAGGACCGGAGATCCGTCACTTTCAAGGAGACCATCATGGACGAGACAGGCGGATATGAGTTGGCCGAATAGAACGCAAAGTTGACCACGTAGTTGCGGATCCGAATGTGTATGCAACAGACGAAGAAGTATGTCCACTGTTATGCGAGGAAGGGAAGAAAGATGGAGGGAGGGGACTGAGTTTGACTGCGGAGACTGCGAGGCCACAATCAAGGCCAGTCTACCGGTTCAGTTGAGTTGAGTTATACAATCATGAATCGTCTACGCATGTTCAGTGGTTCGGGTCGCTACACGACTTATGACAGCAAGTAGTGTAAGATCTTTCAGAAACGAAAAATAGAGGCAAAAACAAAAGAGAACAGCGAGTAAGGATAAAGAGACGGGGAATAAATGAAATGCTACCATTGGTCGTATGACATCGCCCTGTCAGTGAATTCCATTGGAAACCACGCTAAGCACGATGATTGTTCATGGCTGAATTAATCCACCGGTTCACTAACTACCAGACGATTGTTAGAGCTTGGCACTGCGGAGAACGCAGTAAGAGGTTCTTTAAGTAGAGTCGGCAATATTGTTAGGATTTCCCAACTAAACTGTGAATATCAAACCTGACCAACGCAATTGGACGAAGCCCTCAGTTCATCTATGGACGCAAACACTTGCTGTTGATTTGTGTTGATCTTGTTAGCCTACAGAGAAAGCACAAATGCGTAACATTTACCAAGCTGAATTCGTATCCCAGGAAATTCATATCAATGCAAAGGACTCAAATTCTGTCTATTGTGGCCCAGACGGTCAGCTCCAGAGGTTTAATAGGAACATGCACGAGCCGACCGTTTTGGAACGCTGACATCAACATGTGAAGCTTCACAGAGTTGGTATGGTAGCCCCTGCTGTCGCGCTGGAACAGGTGGTTATGAAATGAAAACGAGCAAAACACAGAAACGAAGTACTTTAAAACAGATCGTACGATCGATGGATGCATGGACGCACTAATGCAAATGAGTGCAGCATATCGTCCTGACAGTAAAAATCGATAGGTTCAGTTGACTGCTCATCTGTTAAAAACGGAAGACAATGCAACTGACCGAGTAGAATTCATAGTTAAAGAAGCAGGGACTGTAGAAGTCGAGATGGCCCGTTTCCGTGAGTGGTCATTTTATCGAGAGAGAGAGAGAGAAGCAAGTCTAGAAGACGATATCCGGTTAGTACCAAATTCAATCACAAAAATGAAGTGGAGTTATCTATCCAAAAGAATGGCAATATTCAGAACGTGGTCGGTCGACCTACCTGTGTTGGGATAGCTTGTCGGCGTTTCGGCCTCCATCGAATCTAAGGCACAAAACTGACTGAGAGATATTGGACGAAAAAATTGGTTTGGACAGCAAGAGGCGATCTGCGTGAGGCAAGATATTGCGAGCAGTTGGTTGCAAGTCCTCGGGTTGGTCGGCGAACGTGGCAATAAGGCGAGTGGACCAGTAACCGTGTCAGGGAAGACGCGGAACTGAAGAAGAGAGTACTCGATCAATCGCACTGAGTAGCACATCGTACGGATTGGTCAGGACCGGAGATCCGTCACTTTCAAGGAGACCATCATGGACGAGACAGGCGGATATGAGTTGACCGAACAGAACGCAAAGTTGACCACGTAGTTGCGGATCCGAATGTGTATGCAACAGACGAAGAAGTATGTCCACTGTTATGCGAGGAAGGGAAGAAAGATGGAGGGAGGGGACTGAGTTTGACTGCGGAGACTGCGAGGCCACAATCAAGGCCAGTCTACCGGTTCAGTTGAGTTGAGTTATACAATCATGAATCGTCTACGCATGTTCAGTGGTTCGGGTCGCTACACGACTTATGACAGCAAGTAGTGTAAGATCTTTCAGAAACGAAAAATAGAGGCAAAAACAAAAGAGAACAGCGAGTAAGGATAAAGAGACGGGGAATAAATGAAATGCTACCATTGGTCGTATGACATCGCCCTGTCAGTGAATTCCATTGGAAACCACGCTAAGGACGATGATTGTTCATGGCTGAGTTAATCCACCGGTTCACTAACTACCAGACGATTGTTAGAGCTTGGCACTGCGGAGAACGCAGTAAAAGGTTCTTTGAGCAGAGTCGGCAATATTGTTAGGATTTCCCAACTAAACTGTGAATATCAAACCTGACCAACGCAATTGGACGAAGCCCTCAGTTCATCTATGGACGCAAACACTTGCTGTGGATTTGTGTTGATCTTGGTAGCCTACAGAGAAAGCACAAATGCGTAACATTTACCAAGCTGAATTCGCATCCCAGGAAATTCATATCAATGCAAAGGACTCAAATTCTGTCTATTGTGGCCCAGACGGTCAGCTCCAGAGGTTTAATAGGAACATGCACGAGCCGACCGTTTTGGAACGCTGACATCAACATGTGAAGCTTCACAGAGTTGGTATGGTAGCCCCTGCTGTCGCGCTGGAACAGGTGGTTATGAAATGAAAACGAGCAAAACACAGAAACGAAGTACTTTAAAACAGATCGTACGATCGATGGATGCATGGACGCACTAATGCAAATGAGTGCAGCATATCGTCCTGACATAAAAAATCGATAGGTTCAGTTGACTGCTCATCTGTTAAAAACGGAAGACAATGCAACTGACCGAGTAGAACTCATAGTTAAGAAGCAGGGAACTGTAGAAGTCGAGATGGCCCGTTTCCGGGAGTGGTCATTTTATCGAGAGAGAGAGAGAGAAGCAAGTCTAGAAGACGATATCCGGTTAGTACCAAATTCAATCACAAAAATGAAGTGGAGTTATCTATCCAAAAGAATGGCAATATTCAGAACGTGGTCGGTCGACCTACCTGTGTTGGGATAGCTTGTCGGCGTTTCGGCCTCCATCGAATCTAAGGCACAAAACTGACTGAGAGATATTGGACGAAAAAATTGGTTTGGACAGCAAGAGGCGATCTGCGTGAGGCAAGATATTGCGAGCAGTTGGTTGCAAGTCCTCGGGTTGGTCGGCGAACGTGGCAATAAGGCGAGTGGACCAGTAACCGTGTCAGGGAAGACGCGGAACTGTAGCATCAGATAGGAAACGAGCCAAGTTGACTCCCGCAAAGAACTCGGTTCTTCCGGAACCAAATAGGTCAACAACTCCGTTAAGGTGAGCAATTTCAGGGAGCCGGTCGGTTTGGGGATACATTACAACTCCGTTAAGGTGAGCAATTTCAGGGAGCCGGTCGGTTTGCCTTGGGATACATTGTCACTGCCGGAACCTGTTCGTGGATAGTTAGTGGTAAGCATAAACGAGTGGTACAAAAATTCGAACAGGAAACGGTGAAGAGTGGGTAAATTCAAACACACCTGAAGAGGTACCTTTCAGCATAATCACACTGGGGTCAGACGAATCAGCCACCGACCCAAGAACAGAATAATCCTCCACGGAGAAGTTGGTATCGGAGTGAGAACCTGTTTCCTGTACCACACTGGACGTTTGTTCTTCACGAGCCATACGTGCCCTCACCATTGAGAGCTGTTTTTGTACATCCTGTCGGGCCTGGTGTAGTTCTGGGTCAGCGTCTAACGAAGAGGCTATGCTGGACGAGGAGACGGAGCGTGATAAGGTTGGAGCGCCACCATCGACATGATGCCAGGAATCCGGGAATAGTGGACCACCGTCCAAAGCTGAATCTCGTATAGGACCCTCGCGAATAGAGTCAGTGCGTTCAAACGGATGGAAGGTGAGCTCACCTTGACAAACTAGAGGTAGAGAACAAAATGTGAGAAGAGGTGTGTAGAGAAGCACTCTAACAAGCAAAGTATGGGCAGGTCATGTACTGTGACCTTACAGCTGAATGACAATATTGGGCTGCGTTAGGTCGCAAGTTCGAACAGGACATATAACCGAGTGACGCTTATCGATCCCGTCACCAAAGTAAACATAGGGACTATGATGGGTTCAAAGTAGGGGTGCTCTACCCAGTAATTGGCCGCTACATCTCGAACCTCAGAGGAAGGTGCCTTGAAAAACAGAGACTAGGGATGCTTTAGCCAACCAGTGGAGTCTTATTCAGATCTCAGCTGAGTGAGTAAATTATCGGTCGCTTCACAAAATGGGATTCGAAAAGATGGAATTCACCGAATACAAAGATGATGCGTAACTGCTAGGCGGAAATCAAGGGAATAGGTCGTGCGGTTTATTTCCTTTCCTATTCGCTTCAACCATTAAAGTTGTTGACGTGGACAGATAGTTTGTATCCCCCGTATTATCTGTAGTATTGATATGACTCAGTGGCCAAGCATGGAGAAAGGAAGACATTCTTGGCTGTATACGAGTTGCGTTCGATGCATGAATTGGAGAAAACAACACATTTTACAGCTATTCCCTTACAGGTAAAGTTGTACAATGTATATACAGGCACCAAAGTGGAGAAAAATCAGCCCTAGTTGTGTCTATAGCAGACAATCCCTTCAGTCTGTCGGTCCACAATTATAAGAACATGATGCACTCTGTTCAAAGACGATCAGGGATGCTTAAAAAAACCGTTAGCCAACTAGCCGTTACGCTAGTCCCATGCAGACAGACCTGTGTGACAGTCTGTACAACAGATCAAGCTCAGGCTTAGAGGACGGGAAGATTGAACTTGAAGGGAAGAATGTGAACGAATGTGACAAAAAACTAAATGGTCGAACTTACACACATCTTCAATGCCAACATCAGCGGCCGGGGTTTGGTCAGAAGGATTTTCCAGCATACTGGACGACCAGTTCGTTGTTGTTCCAGACAACCATTGGCGTGGAAATAGAACCAACGGGCGGCGGGCGATTAGAAATTGAGACAATGCTTCCAGAGCAGCCGTTGATAGTGTGATACTTGAAGTATTCGCGTAATCTAGGCAGGTGAAAAAGGCCTGCGACCATTGTCGATCATCCAGTTCATTTGCGTACTGAGCGGTATTCTGACTAGAGATATCAGACGAGGTCAGGCGAGGATCATCGGTCTCCAGTTCGGAGCGAACCATTTTGTTGGGAGTGGATTCTGAAAGGGTGTTTTAAGAGTGACGTGGATTTCGACAATCTTGAGCACAAGCCCAGGTACACATAAGCGGATAAAAGACCTGAATACAGTGGTATGTTACATCACATGACAGAAGCCTGGTTACATGGCTGTTTGTTCAAATGTAACCCACGTCGTCCACGGATGATCACAGTGTGGCGAAGTGACGCTTGCAAAAGTGCCCTGGTGGGGCTTCAAGATTGAAAGAGAGAAATGCCAAGAACCCACGGGCCTAACTTCTGCAACGATGAGTTCAATTCAACACGTTATTAAAACAGGTGAGATTTTTTTTACACATTGCATTGGATGGATATTAAGAAGTCCAAGAGAATAAATTGAAGGGGGTGCCAGCACAGCTGATGCTTTAGAAAAAATGGGCATTTCCCACACGAGCGGACATGGTCATGCAGAGGATCACTTAAACAAGGGAATGTCGTAAGTTTTTCCAGAAAAAGAAATCTCTGGGCTTGTAGCACTGAAATATCGGATCCATCAGTCGTCCCCCAGTATGGATCTCTCTTGTAGACATGGTCGCTTTGCTTCCCAAAGGTGTCCCCTATTTAAGAGGCCAAGACAAATGAACCAAAACGGACAAACCTGATGTAAGAGGCTCGCTGGGTCCCATAGCTGAGGTGCGCACACGCAGATTAGCTCTGGAGGCACGTTTGGCTTCTTGCTCGACAGCTGCAGGGTTGGATCGGAGGACCTGCTGCCAAGCTATAGACAAGTAGCGCAGTGTGCTGAGGAGACCAGCGGCTACATTGGTCGGGGGTCGTTCCGTTCCACCGAGGTCACCTGCGAAAGGGGCGAATCGAAAAAATCCACGATACAGGTTACTATAAAAAACGGTAGTGGTAAAACGGGAGGAAATCCTTGTCGGGGTGTAAATACAGAAAACGCGCCGAAAGTGGGTAGGTTAAATAATACCGAAGCTATGCAGAACCAGCATTTGGAATGATGACAGAGATATCCTAGTCCTTCGGCGTAGCGGAATTTCACCTAAAGTTGGATAAAACACAAAAAACTGGTAGATGTGCACGTCAGATGGCATGAGATAGAAATATGGCCTTAGGTTACCATCGAGTGGGTAATTTCTTAGCAACAGAATTTCCGGCAAAGTTGTGGAGGAAGCCAGGTGATAATAAGAAGTCATTAGTTTCAATCTACCGGCAGTAATCCAAAATCATGTTATGCGGAAAACTGACCTATTATAGAACATAAGATTGATGGAAACTCAGGGGCTGCGCCTACCTGATGAACCCTAACAAGGGCGAAACCGGTCGTGGGCTGTCGAAGAGTTTTCAGCAACCTTGTGAGTAGTTTCCTTTTTGACTTATTATAGTTTACGTCAACGATATTGTTGCACACGGTTGGGAATACTCGCTTCGAGGTGCTGTACCCTAGATTGCACGTTTTAATGATGAAATCTGCCGGCCTCTTGATTTTGGTTTCCAGTACCGAGTGGTATTTGCGTTCCGTGGGGCGAAATCGATACCGTCGCTAGTTAGCAAAAAAGTTACCGAGACTAATTTCCTGACGCAGCACGTTACCCATAAGGTTGCTGAAGACTCTTCGACAGTCTACTGGCTGTTTGGCCCTTCTTGGGGCTCATCACATGGGCCTAGTCCCCGAGTTTTTATCAAGTACCTGAATGTCGCAATCGATGTCAATTGATTGTCATGAATGAGAAATTCAGTCGAGTCCCCGTTAAGACTAAAGCAATTCGCAAAAGAGCGTATGTCTCCCACTGTGTCCACACAGAACAGAAGGTTGATTGAAACCCCGGGACTAGGTTTAACTGATGAAGCCCAAAAATGGCAGGGCCAGTGGTGGGCTCTCGAGGTTCTCAGCAACCTTATGAGAAGTGCGTTAAGTTCAAGAAAATGTACTGCAATATATCGAATATCGTGTCAACCGAAAGATGATGAGGCTGTCTGTGTGCAGCAAATTCAGTTGAAAATGTCCCGTACCACGTGAAGAGAACGATTCCGTGGGCGTCCGCTATCAATAGCAAAAAACAATGGTTTACCTAGAACACGCACTCCATGCTTAGATGTCACGAAAGTCAAAAGAAGCATGGGGGGCTGAGATACTGCCACCGGGATGGCTCAGGGGGCGGAATGGCTCGATGATCAAAGCGCGAATTTACTGATCAGGAGGTCCGTGGTTCGAACCCGGCCTGTGCCTCTCGACTTCCCCTGTCTAGGCTTGGGAAACCGTGCGTCATCCCAACCCTCGTGCAACCTTCGGGTGGCATGGCATTTAGGTACCCAAAGGGTGTTACAGCTAGCTTATTCAAACCTAAACAGCAGCGTTTTAACCACTGAGCTATCTCCAGCTCATGTATTTCAGTTTGGCTCATACAGCTCACTCGTGTACCGGTTCAGTGACATTATTTCGGATCCACGACGCAGAAGTCTGGGATACTGACACCTACAACCGCAAGGTGAACAAAATCAATCAATCGTTCAGCTGTAACACCCTTTCGGTGCCTAGCTGCCATGCCACCCGAAGGCTGCACGAGGGCTGGGATAATGTCAGGTTGCCCAAGCCTAGACAGCGGAAGTCGAGAGGCGGAGGCAAAGCCAAAAAAGCAACGAAAATCCAAAATATTCATTGTAGTACGAAGCGAAGGCGACAGGGAAAGCAGCCATGAATCTGTTCTCCTAAAGTGGACGTATTTGCCCTTTAGGGTCATCACTGACAACTCTTGTGGTCAACAAAGCTCGTACATCCGTACATACGGACAAAAACGGAAGTCGGAAAGTTCGCTCCATGATGTTCCCTCAGTTGCACGTGCAGTTGGCAGTCGAACTGGTGATGAAATTAGACTCACTATTGCTCAGGTACTAAAACACGGATTACAGACAGGAGGGGTTCGACCCGACCTCTACTTGGGCGACCTGGCGGTATCCCAGCCCTCATGCTTCCTTCTGGGGGCATGGCAGCTAGGCACCGAAAGGGCGCGACAGCTGAACGACTTTTTTAATTTTTTTACGGAGAGGAGTACGAATAAGTGAAACAACAGTAGACCTACGGAGAATTCGTTGAAGCAAAAGTCGAAACAGAGTCAGTGGGACACGCGAATACTGGCAGGTTAGCACCAAAGTTTGAGCGACTGAACGACGAATCAAAGCCGTTTCGGACGAGAGTCGCAGCAACTGTCTTCGTAAAAACTGTGACAAAAAAGTCGCAGAAAAGAAAGAGGCAGGATGACGTTTTTTCCGGTTAGTCAGCGCGTCATATAAACAAAACGATAATAGTTGTTTTAAGACGATCACCGCTGTGAGCAGAGCTAATCAATACGTATGCACAAAAGAGAATGACGATCAAAGTAAGAGACAAAACAAGTAGGGCGACATATGGCAGATACCTGCGGAAACCAATTCTGCACTGCGGTCTCATTATTAGAAATAAAAGTTCAGGGGTCATAGTACACTTGAGGTGAGGTTAATGAAATATTTAGATGCGAAACAGCACGCACAGTTAACTACTGCACTGGAATGCTTGGTTAGCGTCCGCTTGTTTTTCTTTGAGTGGCAGTCCGAGGAATGCCAATTTAGTGTAACAATAGATGCAAAAACGAAGCATACCGTAGCTAGGTTGGCTCAAACAGTTCTGGCATGGGCGCAATAAAAAAGAGTGAGGTATTATCGCAGCTGGAGTACATCTGTAGGCAGACCATTAACATCGCGGAGTATTGAAACGCCAGCTGTACGAAGTAATCTGGAATAGGAAATCCAACAGAATTTGATTAAAGGTAACAGAGGCACTGCTTTCAGGTGGCCACGAAGGAAGTATGTTCCATGCGCCGAAACAGAAGTATCTTTGCATTTTCGAGAAATACGCTCATTTGCAAATCGATCTGATTTTCACGAGGACTCAACTGAATCTCTCGTTTATGATATTCTACAACTGAATGTGCTGCGCACAGGCCGCCTCACGTTTCAGTTGGCACAAGTTTCTCGTGAAAACCAAACTGATTTTGCAAATGAGTGTATTTCTCAAAAACAGTCCAATTTCGGTTCAAGTAGAACATAAGGTTGACGGAAACTCGGGGACTGCGCCTACCTGATGAGCCCCGAGAAGAGCGAAACCGGTCGTGGACTGTCGAAGAGTTTTCAGCAACCTTGTGAATAGTTTCCTTCATGAAAATATCTTTGCATTTATTGTGAACAGGACTTGATGACATTTCGTATCCTAGCTCAGCCAACGTGTTAGATGATACGTAGTTAAAAACCGGATGTCTTGAGTTGAATACAGACCATGAAGCGGTTGAAATTTTGATCCCAAGACGTTAAGGGGATGTAGAAATGGGTGAAGAAATAGATGGAATTCGAAGGTAATAATGGACGGATTTACTTTTTCTGTCGATATTGAACCCACAATGCCTTACTGATGAAAAGAATTTTGTGCCACGGAGACACTGGCTACTAAGCCAGTAATCTTTGGGGAAACTCGCAAGCACTTGAGAAGTAGGGTCAGTTGAAGCTCGGTGGTATGATGGTTTGTAGTACAACCATACACTTTGTCCCTCTCCAGTTGGACAAAATTAAGGTGAATTCGATCGTGATTAAGAGTGAAGGAAGGCTGCTGCTCTGTTCACTGAGCTGGGTAATATGGTTGCAAACGTTTCGTCATCTACCAAGATGGTCATCAGCGCGTAGTGATTAGGCGGCAGGTCGGTGTGTAGACGTTGAGCAGTACTGTCTGTGTAGACTTATACGTCTTGAGGACGAAGAAGAATGTGGCTGTTGATTGTGATTTGTCGGCCTGTTTGGATGGTCAGTCTCGTCTGTTGGATGAATGACTAGTTCCATTGTTACCACCGTTCTCTTTGAGTTGTCCGATGGCTAACCAATCAGGGAGCTGGCCAGCCATTCGACAAATTCGATGGGTCATCCAAACCGACCGGCAAATCAAAAGCATCGGAGTCTCTCACAAACTAGTCACTCAAGAATCCAACATCTGATTGGAATATCAATGGTCTGAACCTGAGGTTGAAATGACAAGTACAACACGATCACGCAGTCCCTGAACGACACTCATCAGCAGTGCCGACAGTCACAGATGGCACCCTGTTTTATCGATTACCAAAGACTGTTAAGGTGTCATGCACAGGTGTCCTAGCTGTTCAGGTCGGAAAAGTCTTTATATGTGATTTGGACGAACAAAGATACAATACTGTTGGCAACACCTCTGAGCGTTATGAGCTGCACTACTGAATCAATTGGAATGTGAACCTGTCGCACCGATGGTGTAGTGAAGCACGAAAAATTGGATGAAGTTCTCCGACAGCACTCAAATTGAACCGCGGCCAGACTAAACACATCAGAAACGAATTACACCGGAATTATGTTGATTGCAAAAACAAAAGGTGGAGTTTTCAGCCTTCGCAACACGATCACGCAGTCCCTGAACGACACTCATCAGCAGTGCCGACAGTCACAGATGGCACCCTGTTTTATCGATTACCAAAGACTGTTAAGGTGTCATGCACAGGTGTCCTAGCTGTTCAGGTCGGAAAAGTCTTTATATGTGATTTGGACGAACAAAGATACAATACTGTTGGCAACACCTCTGAGCGTTATGAGCTGCACTACTGAATCAATTGGAATGTGAACCTGTCGCACCGATGGTGTAGTGAAGCACGAAAAATTGGATGAAGTTCTCCGACAGCACTCAAATTGAACCGCGGCCAGACTAAACACATCAGAAACGAATTACACCGGAATTATGTTGATTGCAAAAACAAAAGGTGGAGTTTTCAGCCTTCGTCAAGCTGTCGCTCTCGTTTTAAAGTTCCCACTGAATAAACTCAGCTGGCGACCATATTCAAGAATAATTAGTTCATTACAATGAAAGTCAGAACGATGGGAAAACTTGCAGAAGTCACAGTACGCAGTTCACCGGTTAGCCATTCACGGAATTGATCACATCACTCGTTGGGTGCACACATGCAACCGACAGAAGGTGAATTTGTTTTGTAAACCTGGAAAGGATGCCAGTTGACTTTGAGCTTGAACATCCGCTCTGTATCGAACCGTCCCAACCGATAAGTCGCGAATGAAAAACGTCCTCACCACACTGAGGACAACTACGTAAGCAAATATCCTTTGTCTCCTGTTCTCTACCTTTGAAATCGGCCTAAAGCTTCTTACTTTTTTTACAGGCATCTGTTTCCTTTCTGTTTACTAAAAAAAACTGTAAAGCTTGGACGTGACCCAATGTCATGTGAAAACCATGACAAAATATCTTTGGATACATCAGTAGAGAAACCTTGTGGATAATCCAATGTCCACTGAAACAGTTCGTACCCTGCATAAGCAAATGTGCAACAATAGGATGGAAATTCAAGAGAAAAGCCGTAGGAGAAATAAATTCTGAGACAGAATGAACCCACTTACTAGTCTCAGGATTGTTGGAACTTGACTAGACGAAAATCAGGGACGCAGGTGGTAGACAAAAGGGCGAACTAAAAAAGTGAACCTACATCAACAAGCTCCCGTTCAGTTGCGTGACAAAATAGTTGAGAAGCAATCTGCCCGAACTGTTCCGAAAGCACATCGAAAACCGACTCATCGTCTCGTTCGCAAATCGTAACAAGAACCGGGAGAAGGTTCAAAGTGTAGAACCTACATGTGTTGGAGAGGAAATGGAAGGCGTACAGTTGATATTTAATGGTTACGAGTGTTGAGTACAGTAAATCTGCCTACTAGCCGGAGACTTACCTTCGTTTGGACGCCCGGATTCGATGCACAAGACCAGAGAACTTGTTGAGCGCCACAGTCACAGTTCTAGCATTGGCATTGCGCTTCAATTCCAGGAACAGTTCAAAGATGACCTGATGTGTCATGCTTACACGAAGCAGCTGAAACAAACGGAGAGGACAGCAACCGTACCAGCGGATAAGTCAAGTACGACAAAGCAAGCTTGGAGTACAGTGTTTTGCCGCGCGAGGGGGAGGCGGGACCTCCTCGTTCCCAGAGAGGAACCCAAAAAAAAACGGAATACCAACAAATGTTAATAGCTAACATTGTTTTCTGGTCTACACAATCGTTCAGCTGTAACAGTCCTTCGAGGCCTAGCTACCATGTCACCAGAAGGAGGCGCGAGAGCTGAGACACTGACGGGCCATCCAAGCCTCGACAGGAGTAGCAGAGAAGCGAAGGTTGGGCTCGAACCAAAAACCCTCCGGTCAGTGAGTTCGCACCCTAAATACTGAGCTATCTCGGCTTCATTCCACAAACTAAACTTAGTAGATGTGACATCTTCGTACTAATGCTCCCGGAGCACCTAGCTGTACCGACTGCCGACCGGAAAATAGTATATTGATGCGTGTTTAGGCATACTATTCACCTTAGGATTAATCCAGTCTCTTTCCACAGGAAATAGCACGATGCCAACGACTTAAGCAAACGGTCCAGATTAATTAATTGGCTGTTAGCGACTAGGCATTGTGGATACATCATGATACCACACCAGCAAGTTTCTATCGACTGAATATAAATCGTCAAGACCGACAACTTATTCCAGAAAATACATAATACGTCAATTGAAGTAGCATCTTGAAGCTGAAACGGAACTTCAGGTAACGAATCAGATGATTTCATGCCTGAATTAGATTTCAAGTGGGGACATGATAAATGTGCAGTTGAGTCACCCAACAAGGAAGCAGCCTGATAGCCCGTGATGGTCGGTGGGTACCGATAATAAACCGGAACTGCAGGCCGTGAACAATTTGTAAGTGGTTCGGGGGATTTGCCAGCTTGGCTACAAACTACTCATGGGACTAATCTAACTGGATTTTCAGATGCCAAAGCTGGATAACAATAGAAAAGGTTGGACTTGTGAGAGCGATCCGTCCATTGAGAAGGCAACCACTGGGACATCCAACAAACTTTGCAATGCCTACCTTGCCACACTCAGACTTCGGGGTCGACAATCTCAACCCCAGCCAAGAGCTTACTGTTTGTCAGATGTACCGAGTCAACCGTTATATCTTAATTCGCCAGTACGGATTTCGGTCTGTGTAATGTTAAGTCACGGACTCTTTGAAGGAAGAACGCCAAAAGGGGATGTTTTCAGGGATTAATTGAATCTGGAGTTTAATCACATGGAATAGCACATTTAGGTGACGCATGAATACAAAGAAATAACGGTTGGAGTAGATTATGACGGCCCTTTAATGGGAAGTAAGTTGTACTGGCGATATAACACAGTCACTCATGTACTATGAGTCAGTCAGGAGCGGTATGCTTCAACAATAAGGATATTGGGTGTTATCCAAGCGTTACAACACCTTGGTGCCAAGATGAAGAATATCAACTGCTAATCCACTAACTAAATTGTGTCTAAATATTCTCCCGAAGGCGTCAATAGGAGGGATACATTTGTGCCGCGTAGAACAACTTTACCGATCACGATGCTCACTCCACTAACCAACTAAACCGCAGACTTTTGCTGTGCTGATCAGGGATCCGCTCAATCAAGCTCAGTTCACTAATTCGTACAGTCAGCGTAGCAAAGGAGATGTCCAGAAAGAAATTGGCCTGGTTGAAGTGTGCTTTCTATTGTTTCCCTTGAGGGCAATTTGACTGTCCAAAAAAGGCCCACTTCCCAGCAGCCGTGCTCGAGTAAGCTACGAAACTACTCGACTAGATTCCGGCGCTAGCTCCCATACAGACGAGAGTAATGCTTGTAACAGTGACCAAAATAAGATGGACGATTGTGGGAAAAGAGAAGGTAGTCGCAAACCGACGAATTTACGAAGAAAATCCTACTGAAAAACGACCCAAAAGATGAACATAACCTCCGGAAACCAAATCCAAAGAGAACAAACCGAGGGACCCACCTACCTTGATCAATTTGTTGATTCCTTCATCGGCAGCAATACGAACATCTTGATGGGGATCGTTGAGAAGTTTAAACAGGCACGGTAGCACAAGGCTAAGGTAAGATGGAGCCTGACTAGATGCTTTAGACTGAAGCCGAAGCAGGCCATCAACTAGTTGATGTGTTGCACGAAGCAGCTCTGCGCGGCCAAGCTGAACTCCTTTTTGGGTGGGAGAGAGGACTGTGGTTTCGGGAGTAGAAGCATTAAGAGTAGAGTCACCAGTAACATCGAAAGAGGATTCATTAGAATTTGATGTCACTTGACTAACTCCGAGGGCACGCAAAGCAGCCAACAAACCGACATCAGCCATCGGTGCAAATCAGTCGCGGACCGATATTGAAAGGGGGAAATGTTTCATTGGTCCAGAATCATTGAAAACAGGAAATTTATCTGTAAAGGGACATGGACAAACAGTGCTTACATAGTAGACATATACATGTAAACCAAAAAGAGCAATCGAGGCATATATATATATATATATATATATAATCTTCAAGTCTCGACACGTAGTCTATCTGGATGCTTTTAGTGTTTGCACCCCGAAGCAAGCAATACTTGCCCCCTATGATAACCAGGTCGATGCCCGTCGCAATTATGTTACAACCGGATAAAACGAAAGCATAATTCGTTTGTAGCTCGATACGGTTTCCGAAGTTACGACCGTTTCTTGCCGCACCTAGAGGAAGATTGGATCAGCACGAGTTAGACCGACAATGAACACCACCAGAAATGCATCAGGAGGTAAGCTTTAATCGCTTGATGAATTTGACTGTGCGATGGAAATAGCAAGTCATCGTGATTGTAGTATTGTCTATCCTGTGGCCTGTGAGTTCAACATCCTGGGTATAGACTGGATCAATCGCTTGGCCTTTAAACATTACAGATCAACAAATTATACGTATCAACACCAACAGATGGGAAGTCAACGTCTTAGTACGAAAGACGTGTACCTGTGAAAGAGTACCGCCCTGGGCACCGGACCTGGTGTGTTGAAGTCGTTCCCAAAAGAATCAGTCAGCTGATTTATAGCGTCCGGGTGGGATCATCGATATGGAAACTGCATGTCAATCAACCACGGTCAATTGAGGGACCGATTCCAAAAGTGGAGGAACAGTCAAACTTGTTGCTCATCAATACCCACTGCTTCACATTTTCCACCCACGACGGACCCACCGATACAACCGAGACGCTGTACCGATCGTGTGAGAAGAAAATGAAGCCTTTTATAATTGAACCGCGCCGGCAATCGTACGTTGAACGGCCAAAAGAGGGAGGAAGCCGGCAAGCATCCAGGCCAGTCAGTCAATAAACTCAGCAACGGCCGATGATGATGAATGCTCAGGCCCGCCACAGAAGCACGACCGACCATGATAAGTGTTCAAGCACTTTATAGAGGCAAGATTGGTGATGATGGGTGTTCACCAAACGCCAATCAAACAGCTGATTCAATGTTAGAAGTGCCCTTTGAATAGTGCCAGGCTTCTTGTAACTTTCGCTCTAGCTTGTTTGCAATAAAGCTGTTGTGTTCATTGTTAGCGAGTCTTTTTAGGACATTGAGGTTATGGAGCGGAGCGGGTCCAGCAGTTGCTAACAACAATGAGAGTATACGGAGAGCTCTCCAAAAGGCCTCCGTACATAAGTGGTGTCTGTCAACCCACTCTACCCACTCTCATCATCATCGACAACATGACATCAATGTCCAGCACTGATGCTGCGCTGCCGACGGCATCCAAACGTTTCGTGATCTCCTTCATACTCCTCTGCCGAGTCAAGGGTTGGCCACCTCTCTGCTTACGCCACTCTCAACTGGGCATGGAAAACAACACTCTCTTCGGCATACGCCACACATGTCGCATCCAACACAACTTCTGTACACATTCTTCAATGGAAGTACCCGATGCACAACCGACAACGCGCTTTTTAATTGCCTCATTACGTATTAGCCGACACCAACCTACACGAAACATAGTTCTGAAACAACGACGGCAGACACTGCAACGATGCCTGGCGGTCCACAGAGTCAAAGCCAGTTTTCAGCTCACGAAACACAACCACTGTTGGTTGCTGGAAGCATTGTCGCTGTTCCCGAATTTGTCGGAGTGTGAAGATATGATCATGCATCCTCTTGCAGGACGGAACCCAGCTTGGTTTTCAAGGATCTATCTCTCTCTGTATTTAGTCAACCTTCAGAGGATAAGACCAGAGAGCACCTACGATGCCACAGCTAATAGGCTGATGCCACAGTAGTTTTCACACAGCGTCCGCGTACCTTTTTTGAAGATAGGGATAATTGTCGACGTCCCATTCTGCAGGCACTTTCTCTTCGTTCCATATTGTACCAATAAGCTTCGACAGATAGATCGCCAGGGGTTCTCCCCCTTCTTTAAAGAGGACTGGATACAGACCGTCCGGTCCTGGTGCCTTATCGCGCTTCAGTAGAGCTATTTCGTATCTTATTTCTTCGTTCCGAATGGTGATCTCTCTTTCCTAGGGCCAGTCGATCGTACCAGTTGATACAGGGTCGGTAGCAAAAGCCCTCTCAATCTTCCGAGCTTTCGATGTCCACCAGAACTGTTGGTCTTTTCTTAGACTCTTCACTAGTTGGAGTTTGAGAAATTTGCGTGCACTGTCGTACCTGTTGCCCGCTGGTATGGTTTTCCTGGCACCACTGGTCTTGTGGTCGAATTGGGGAAGTCGGACTGACAGCACTTAACGCCGCTAACACAGCCCCTTTTACATTTTGCCAAGCTTCGTCCACATGCTCATTGCCACCACAGTATTGGTTTACTGTGGAGAGTTGTTGGGCCGGCTCAGACCGATACTGTTGACCTATGGTAGTTCTTCGAAGACAGTGGATCGGCATGCTTGTTGCTGGCTTGAAAGAGCCTGAAGGGAAACGAAATTTCAGGCGTGCACGCACTATGTTGTGATCGGAGTCAAGTGGTGTGCCCCAGAAGGAACGGTAGTCTTGAATCGTGGCTCTCCATCGGTGGTTGATGGCCGCGGGGTCCAGAAATAGTTCATGATCAGCACACAACTGAAGGAGTCGATCTCTGTTGTCTGTGCGGCGAGCATCGACTCCGAGTCGACCGCCCAAATGTGATTCCAAAGAGCTCAGACAACCGAATTGAGCATTCAAATCGCCTGCAAGGATCACAATGTCAGTGCTTCTTGCTTGACGAATGAGCCCGGGTAGCTCCGCCACAGAACTGCAGTCGGTTGGGACACCGGTCTTTAGGCCGACAGGCATCGAGCTTGATTGAACTGGATAATCGGATGGCGCCAAGACGACTGTTCACTGGAATTTAATCCAGCAAGGCGCGTTCAGCTCTGAAGCTGAGTGGAACTCCCACAGCATATACTCCACGAGTCACCGCTTCTGAGTCACCGGACACACGGAGAGAGAAACGTGAAATGTGTTTATTCTTGGCGTTCTGAGATGCATAATCACGCTTGAGCCTTGTATACATGTTTCAGAGACACAGTATACACCAATTTTAAGGGAGTATAAGATTTCAGCAAGCAGTGCCTGTTTGCTAATTTGACATAGAGTACGGACGTTAAAGGCTCCTATGCAGAAAGGATCTCGTGGATTTAGAAGGGTTTTATTTCGTTTATTGTTAGTAGGCAGCGGGGGGCATGAGGCCCTTCGGTCAGACAACTGACAGTCCAATGGCCCTGCGACGTTTGCTTGTGTGGTGAGGAGTTGAGGAGGGGCATCGGTGGACATTAAAATGCGCGGGCAAATAATACTTTCCGGTTGCCCAGGCCGAGGGAGGGGGTTTGGTTGAGGCACCCATCCTTCAGCCTTTGACTCAAAAGTCTGACCCACAAAGCAGTTGGAAGACGTATGGTTTGGTTCAGGGATCCTGCCCCTAGTCTCTGAGTCAAAAGTCGGATCCACGAGGCAGAAGACAGTAGGGTTTTCTTTGAGGACCCTTCCCGAAGCCGATGACTCAATAGTATGACCTGCTCAGCTGCAGGGGGTTGGTCTAACCCGAGGGCGCATGGAATGGGACATTACAGTTTCATTCCTGACGCGGCTGCGCAAAGCACATACCTTCTGAGCAGCACCGAACTCTTTGGTTTTAAAAGTATTTCGACCGGTGGTCACGGTCAACCGTTAGTCGATTGGAGCGTGCGGTTTTTGAGAGCAACCTTTTCTGACCCGTCTTTCCTCAGGGCAAAGCAGCATCACTGCATTCGTGAATATGGACATGCCGGTCGCCTGAAAATACGTCTCACTGCTTTCACACATTTGTCGCAGAGGACAGTACAGGGTCTCACTGCGCTTGTTCGGACACAGCCCTTCGACATTCCTGACATGGTTGCACATTGTGGAACGAAGTTCCAACCAGTGTAGCCCGCGGGATCGTTGCAGCACTCAAGTCCAACTACCAGGTCAAGGTGGCAGCTTTAGGTCGCCGGTATGGTCTCTCTGGCAGCACTCAAGTCCAACTACCAGGTCAAGGCAGCTTTAGGTCGCTGGCATGGTCTCTCTGAAGGCAATAAGAGCTGCTGATCTCGAAGATATTCAGTGTTCATTTAGTCGAGCCAATGGCATGAACGAACAGTTCTGAGAGGTCAGAGGATGGCTTCTTTAGCTCATCTCCATTCAACGTCCAAGGTATCTTCGTCGTCCGCACGACTATGCGCTTCAAGTAGCTTCCTAGCCAGATCAGCTCGATTCTCTTCAGCTACTGAAACTTTTCGAAGTAATGAACAGAGATTCCCTCCTTTGGCCCCAAAGTTCTGACCTGGCCTGCACGATGGCATGATTATAGTCAAGTTGCGTACCCCAGAAGGAACGACAATCCATAACTCAGGTCATATGGTCCGACTATCTTGCGGTTAGTGGCCTCCAAGTAGCTCGATGTGAGCGGTTGTCGGAAGTGCGTACTGTAAACTCAGCATCGATTCAAAACCTACTACACAAATGAGCTTCTTCCCGACTTATTCGTTCAACTTGTGCATTCATGTCACCAGCCAGGATTACTATATCCATCTATCTTGCTACCCGGAAGAGTTGCGACGGATCTCGATAAACCCATCCTTCCCAGTATTGGAACTGCGTTATTTTGGAATGTATACTGATACGATAAATAAACGCCAGTTGCCACATCGACCTACAATTTATCTTAACTGAGCCAGACAACCGAACAGCGCAAAGGCGACCGTTCATTGGGGTCTAGTCTAGTAAGGCGCCTCAAGCATTTGGACTAAATAGATGTCACGAGCCATTGGTCAAAATTAGCGGATACCAGAAGAGTGAAGTGCGGAACATCTGAGCTTGTCCTTAGCGGCCTGAGATACATGACCAAAGCAGGGAATTGTATGCATGTTTCGGAGACACAGCATACATCAACAGACAGGTAAAGCAAGGTTTCAGCAAGGAATGCCTGCTGCCCAATTTGACACAGAGTATGGACATTAAAGGCTGCAACATGGATAAGACCTTTTGGAGTTAGTGTGTGATTATTTTTGTTTGTATTTCTGGGCGACTGTTGAGACACGGAATAGTTGCTAGGGTGTTGGCAGATGGGTTGATTGAACTGCATTGTACGAGGGGTGGGGAGGACTGTGGGAAACGGCCGGTGAGCGAAGACTTGCACGGGCGAACGATACTTTCCGATTGCCCAGGTGTTAGGCCGAATTCCACACGGATCCCTCTTCACCGCTTGCACTCATGTGCCGCTACGGCCGAGAACTCATCCC